CCCTGCTCAACAACCCTTTCACAGCAGCTTCCTCTTTCTCCTTTAGCTCATGTGTGAGAATGGCTCTAACTTTAGAGAACGGTTTGGAGGTACCCTTGCACTTCACCTCATACTCAATGGAGTTCTCATCACACTTGAGAGGTATCAAGGTCATTGTAGGATCTCCTTTGACCCTTTTCTCCTGGACTTTCTGTTTCACCCTTGAATTCCCTCTGAATTTAGCAGGATCAGTGCCAGGATTTTCATCAGAGAACAGCCTTCTCTCACCCTCATCACCATGCTCTCTCTCTGGAGTCACCTTCAGTTTTTCTACATCAAACACAGAGATGGAAGAGGCGTGTGATGAGGAATATCTGGTGGGTACAACCTTATATAAAACTTTCTTGTTGATGTTGGAGAAGGAGATTTTCTTGTTAGGCATATCGATGGTTGCTCCAACAGTAGCCATGAATGTCCTTCCAAATATCAAAGGCATCTCATGATCTTTATCCATCTCAACAACTTGAAACTTAGCAGGAACAATGCAGTCCCCTACTTGGACATGAAGGCAGCGGATGGTTCCATATGGGACTGCTCTAGCAGAGTTTGCAAAAGTCAGGCTCAGCTGAGACTGCTCAACACCAGCAATACCCAAATCGTCTACAATAGCCTTTGAGACGAGATTAACACAAGAACCAGAGTCACAAAGAGCGTCATTGAAGGTTGTTCCTGCGATGGAACATGGGAAAGCAAACTTTCTAGGATCATCAACCTTAGGCAATACCTTCCGTGCTGGTATAGAGAGTGCTTTGGTATAGAGGGCTTTGATCTCCTCTTGAGTCTCTCTACAATTTTTAAAGAAGTTGAGCAATGGGCGAATCTGCAGAGCATCTTCAAATGCAAGTTCTTTAGGAAGCCTTCTCACAATCTTGTTAAAAACCTGCCAGCTGCTCTTCACCAATGGAATCCCTCAGATGTCTGGGTGGGATTGGGTAGGAAACCTTAGGAACATAGACTCGAGGTGGTGGAGTCTCAGCAGACTCGTCGAGAGCAGTCTCAGCAGGTTGATCCGGAGTAGTCGGAGCGACCCCAGTAGGTTGCTCTGATTCTTTCTGCTTAGCTTTCTCTGCAGCAGTAAATCACCTTGGTGTTGGATCATTCAGCTGCCTATCACTTCTCAATTCCACTGCATAACAATCCCTTGGATTTCTATCAGTTTTTCCAGGGAGCATCCCCTGCTGTCTCTTGATACTCTCTGCAGTCTGAGCGAGAGCAATGTCAATCTGGCGCATGTGACTCTGCTCACTGTGTCATATTTCGTGTTGAGCTCAGTGAACATGTTGTCCATCCTTGTGTTGATATCAGAAGTAGCTTGGTTTAACGCCTTGGCCTGTATCTGTTGACTTTGGAGCTGCTGATGCATCATGTTCTCTAAGGCATTGATCTCACTCTGTCCACCCCCTGAATTAGCTGGAGCATCTTGCGGGTTGCTCTGCTGATTCTGATGGTTCTGATTTTGGTTCTAGCCTTGAAATTGGTTCCGAGCCTGGTTGAAAACAAAAATCTTGCCTTGGAAACTCGAAGGGAAACCTCTCTGCTGCGGAGCACCTTGCTGCTGATTTCGTTGCATCTGATCCCCAGAATTCTCTGCATTGCTCCTCTGGTAAGAGAGCGGGTTAGGGTTGCTCTGGTAGTTGGGATTCTGATAAGAGTTCTGATTCTGGACATACCCCTGACCATTGATGTAGAGAACTTCCTGATGATCCTCTCCCCTTTTTCCACCTTCAGAAAGAGCTAGATCTTTAGCTATCTCCTCTGGTGTTGCCTCGTCCATGTACATGACTTGGCCTTCGGTTTTCTTCAGGAGCAGATCAACCTTGGCAGTGAGTTCATCTTTCCACTGAGCATCGACACTGCTCACCTTCTTGGAGCGATCTGCTTCTGGGTTTTTGTTCGCAGAACTAGCAGCCATGTTCTCTATCAGCTCGTAAGCACCCACGGTGGTCTGTGTCATGAAGTCTCCCCTGCTCGCAGCATTGAGAGCATTGCAGAACTCCCACTCAACACCATCATAGAATATACCCAGAACATGTTCCTTCTCAAAGCCGTGGTGTGGGCACTCCCTGAGAGAGTCATTGAATCACTCCCACGCATCGCTGAATGGCTCATTTGCGTGCTGCTTGAAAGAAGAAATCTTATTCCTGAGAGTTGCTGTTTTAGCCTTCGTGTAGAAGTGTCCCAAGAAGGCTGATCTGACTTGCTCCCATGTAGCGAGAGAGCATGTAGGGAGCGACTTGAGCCATGTTGAAGCCTTGTCCGCTAGAGAGAAAGGAAAGAGCATACACTTGATGTTAATCAGGAGGTACTCCATTAACGCGAGTGAAGCTACAGATTTCTTCAAAAGCGTCAATGTGATCCATAGGTATCTCAACTGGAAGCCCATGAAACATCTTCCTCTGCACCAGATTGATCATAGCAGGGTTGATCTCGAAGTCTTGTCTGGCACATGGTGGTGGAGCAATCGCGGAGCGCGTGGCCGGGATGTTCCGCGACAGATTTCGCTCGTCGATTTGAGCAGCTTGCTTCTGCTGATTGCGAGCAGCTTCTTGTGCTTGAATGGTCTGCTGCATTTGGAGCATTTGCTGTTGCATCAGAGCCAATGCTGCAGTGAGATCATTCTGGTCGCCGTGATCGCCCATTATAGCGTGAGTCGGCCTCGGTTGTTGTCTGTTGGTTCTTTCTAATCTTGCTAACTCTTCGTTGGTGAGCGTGACTAATGGACTTGAGGTGTGGCTTCGAGTATTTCTACTGGTCATACACCTGGAACATCAGCTGCAAGCAAAGAAAAGATAGAGCAAGTTAGATGTTTTAGACTAGGAAAATTGCCAAAAAATAAAGGTAAAATTATTGGTCCCTGGCAATGGCGCCAAATTGATATTACGTGCGAACGCACACCAATTAACCTAAAGTGCACATTACCACAATCGAATGGTCTGTCGATGTAACACTTAAGGATTGAATCCATAGAGACTAAAATCTACACTTTATTTCTATAGGATCAAATTCAAGCTAAAACAATTAAATGTTGTGAAAAACAAATCTTGAGTAACAAGTAACAATTGGATTTAACAGTCAGGATATAAGGATGCTAATCTAGGATATCTCATTGGGTGTTGACCATACTGAACCATACAATTATTCAAACTTTCTAAGAACAACCTAGAACTTAGATTTCTAACTAGAGCACCCTGCTCTCGCAGGCGTGCTCCTTGTGCGGAAGAGCAATGTCATACTATGCTCCCGCGTGTATCACGGCTCTACAGCAAACAGTATTCACAGACCTAAAATGCTCACATCACACCCTGATATCTACTTTCGTTGATTGTTGGGCCCAAATATGGCCCGTTAGCTGAAATTAACAGGCTCGAGTAATAAGAGTTGATAATGGGTTATTATAAGCCCATTAGCAATTAAATCTTTGAGAAAGGAGTTAAGAAGAAGCCGGAGGCTGTTTTGCTAAGGAAGAAACGTTAATAAAACATGTCACGGAAGAGAACTCTGGACCTCATTTAGAAAGAGCTAATGGGAGTAGCTCAGGCTTGATGCGCAGGACCCGTACCAAAAGAGACTGTTGAGAATCCCCTAACTCACAGAGCAAATCTCGGAGGTTAGCTAAGATCGTTGGCGCGTGGCTGAGAGCTATTTAAAGATGAGGAGGAGATCAGAACAAGGGGTCCAGATTTCATTCATTATCTACACATTCTAGAATTCTACAAACATCTTTTATTCTTTGTAATCACAAATCGTTACGCTTGTAATCATCTTTTACCAAAAACATTCAATACAATCATATTCATTCTTTAAGTTCTAAACGGGATTCAGCCCACGTTATCTTCTCTCCAATCTAAACCTGATCTAAATTAGGAAGTGAGTTTTATCCCTCACACTGATCAGGGATGTGATGCTTGCTCTCAACAGATCTAGCAATCTAATTCAGGATTAATGATAAAAGATTAAACTTGGAATCAAACACTAAGTGATCAGATCAGTATAGGCATTAAGAACAAAGGAGAGCAAAGGCGAAAATGATGCTTCTCTATGTTCAGTTCATTTGATCAACACCCTAGAACCCTATGCTAACAAATCAACTACTCAACCATAACACAAGAAAACACACAAGTCATGACTGAATAATGTATTAGATAAATCAAAGTATTAAGAGGGTTCAGGGATTTCTTCTCTAGAAAACCAAGAGGAGGAAGCCTTGGCTCTTTACAAAATAACTAGAACAAATCTTCAACAAAACTCTCAAAACTTGTAAGAACTAATGTCTTTTTGTCTCTGGTCGAAAGTTGAGAGAGAAGAGGCGGTCAGAGTCCTCTTAGTAGGTTAAAATAAACTTCTGATAGGGCAGACATAAGCTTTCCCGAAATAGATCATGGTTCATTAAAAACGCAGGAGCAAGGTGGTTGTCGCTCCGCGATAGAAGGAGCAAGCGAAATAACTCAAAAACACACTAAGAATATTCTAGGAAAGCACAAATATAATATGCAAAGTATGTGTGTAATATGTCAAAAACACAACATATCAGTTTGAAAGAGTCCAGGGATAGAGCAAAGTATCAACAATCAATCTCGGTTTTGTTTCACATGAGTTTCTGTTATTTTCTACTTAAATTATGATATCTCCTTGTAATACATTAAAGATTCAAAAATGGTATCTTGTTTTAAAAAAAAAAGCACAAAGGGACTTACTTTTTCATTTGATCCTCTAATCTCATACAAAGATCTTTGTAACTTAGAATTAGCAAACAAAAATGATCAGTGCTCTGTTCAAAGACTCGGACAAATCTTATTCCGACTAAGTGGTGAGACTTAGAATCCGATCGTCTGAAAAGAGCATCATCAGAAAATGAAGAGCATAACAAAGGAAGAATTCAATTTAATACTCTTAGAGGCTTTATTTATCCCGTTCTTTAATCTGTTTGGTTGTACGTTAATTAGATTATTATAAAAATGAGGATTTGACAACGGAAACCTGTCTCGCGGAGAACTGATTGAAAGAATCAGACGAGTTTAAAATCAAGAATGTATGTTTATTTTCTACAAACAAATCAATCACAAACACAACAAAAAAAATGTAAAAGAAAGAAAACCAAATCAAGAATTTCATCTCATCAATCAAAAAGCATACAACTGAACAAAGAACAAACTCGCGGGAAAAAAAATCAAAGCATCAGTAGACTTGTCGGTAACCCAAAATGCTCCGGCCACCGCCAACGACTTTTCTCCCTCCGGCTCCGACGCCATTAATAGCCGAAGCGGCAGCCATTGATATCTTCTTAAGATCCTCAACGTTCGCGTAGCTCTTCCGCGCCATTACCATCAACCCTTTACTCTTCTTCTCCCCTGCATTCGCCGATTTGCTCCCTCTCGCGGCGGCAATGGAAGAAGAAGCCGATCCCGTCAAAACGCCGCCGTTTCTGCTCTTCGAAGACAGGGGCGGAGGGGTAGTGTTGTAGTTAACCGGACGGCGGTTTTCTTTACGTATCACGGCGGAGAAATCAGGAACAGACTGAGCCAAAGAAGAAGTTGGAGCCTTTCTCGGAGAAAACCCAAACCGAGTCTGCTTTTTTATCTTCTCCGGTGTAACTACAACTTCTTCTTCTTCTTGTCGTGAAATTACGGAATCACCCTTGAACCTCACTTGTTTCTTCTTCGGCTCTGCTTCTTCTTCTTCTTCGTCGAGAAATTTCTGGAAATCTCGTTTCATGCGAAGCTTTGATTCACGCAATCGAGAGTATTCGTCGTATCTCGGTCCCCTCTCGAATCCGCATAAACCGTCTAACAAGAGTTTAAGCTGATGTGTGTCGGAATTTTGAGAGAGAATGAGAGACATTGGATCTACAGAGAAGAATAGAGGTTCCATGCTTGGGTTTGAGATCGTATCCGCCATTAATGGATTGATCTCTTCTGCGCCTAAAAAGAGAGATTGTTTTGTTTACTCAAGAGTTTGTTGTTGTTAGCGAATGACTTTATTTAATGTATAAAGAAAAAGGCTTATATTATTACTCTTTTGATCTTCTCAACGGTCTGATTGTTTCATTTTGATTCAGTGGAGATTGCTGTGTTGACGATTTTACTTACGTGTAACGGTCTTATTTTGTAGTGTGGGACCCACAACTCATTGATCAAAACGGTCATTAATTTTCCTTAGTATTAATTAAAATAGTCATAAATTATTCTTAGTTTAAATTGGATTTGAATGATATACATCAAATTAAAAAAAAACGCAGATCAAATATAACACAAGCAGATCAAGTAAATGTTGCAAAACAAATGAAGATTTAGCTACTTAAACTAATTTATCGAATAACATATTTGACCGAATGTTAAAATATAAAGTTGTAAGTGAAATATTTAAAGATAACATACAAATTCTTATATATAAACAATAAATATATACATATATATATATATATATATTTAATAATACAAAGAAAATTTGAACACTATACAAATATTAAATATAATTACAACATATAATGAAACTGAAAAAATATATGGAGTGTTTTTTTGTCTATAATATATTTGCAATAATTACTCTAATGTTTGTCATTAGATTTTCTTGTCCAATATATACTTCTTATACATCATTTTGTTCAACCATATATTTAACAATGAAATTTTAATAAAATTATGTAATATTATTTTCATTGTTACCACTCTGTTTTGAACACTTATATCATATAAATTAAATATTTTATTTTATCAATATTTATAATTTCATTGAAGAAACAAAGTAATAACATACCTTGATTTTTGAATTGTTTATTGGATATATGTATATGAAATAATTAAAACAATTAAAATATGAAAAGACAGTTAAACAAAATAAAGAAACAAAATTAAACCGCTATAACTAAAACGTTTTTTTTATTTATCTAAATATTATATATGAATATTTAGTGTAATTATATATTTTTATATTAGAAAAAAGTAATGTGTATAATTATGTTTACATAAAAATTAAAATGAATATCTAAATTAGGTATATATGTGTTTATAAAATTTTATAAAATTTAATAAATATATATATATATATATGTAAATAATATATCATTTTATATATTTGTATAGAAAAAATCATCTTTAAATTGTATATAGAACAACAAAAGATTTACGCTTAGAGAATTTTTTTCGTTGTAAACAAATAAATAGACTAATATGTATATTTCTAGTAAAGAAAAAAATAGCAATTCAAAAATAATTAAAAACTGACATGCATTGAGTTTGGTCCACCCAATTTTTCCTTGTTCATGCAAGATAATTTTTTATCACACCGATTTCTCTGGCATATAGTTTCATTTATTTTTTATTATTATTTCTTCTTCTTTTTTAATGTTGATTGAGAATTTGATAGAGAACAATCTGTAAATTTTTCTTCTGCATTTATCCTGCTCCACATTCAAATCATATATTCTGCAAAGTGTATTGATAATACTTGTATACGCACATTAATTAACCTAATGTGCATACTACCACAATCGAATGATATTTCAATGTAGCACTTTAGAATCGAATCTGGAGAGACCAAATCTTACACTTTATTTCTACGGAATCAATTTTAAATTAAGATAATGAAATGATTTTAAAGTACGAAAATAAAACAAACAAGTAAAAGAGAATGATTTGGGTTGGATTTCAGATGATGAAGAATGCTATCATAGGGTGCTTCATTGAGTGGTAACATGATAAACCAAACAATTATTCAAGCTCCATTAAGAACAGTCTAAAACTCAGATTTTTAACTAAAACACCATGCTCTCACAGGTATGCTCCTTTTGCGAAGTGAGCATGATACATATGCTCTCGCGTGGATCAATGCTCGACAGCAAATATTAAACACTGATCTAATATGCTCACATCACACCCTGATATCTACTCTCGCTGATCAGGGATATGATACTCATTTATAACAGATCTAACAACCTAATTCATGGTTAATGATAAAAGGTTAAACCTAGATTCAAACACTAAGTGATAATATTAGTATTAGCACTAAGAGCAGCTATAAACGAATATAAAGAGATGAAGCTTATCTATGTTCAGTTCATAGATAAACACCCTAGAATCCTAGGCTAACAAGATCGACTACTCAATCATAATAACAGAGAACAAAGAGTCAAGAGATGAAGAAGACATGAATTTTATTGCAGATAAAATATAAATAGGGTTCAGGGGATTCTTCTCTAAATCGAGAGAGATGATCTTTTCCCTTTACAAGTATCAAAATCACAATATCCAAAAGCTCTAGAACTTCTTGTCTCTAAAAGAATCGTAGAGTCTAGGAAAAATAGAATAGAATATCCCGTCTGCCACAGGCGTCTGGGAGAAGGAAATAGAAAAACTAGGGCAAATCCCGAACTTAATTAGAAGTTTCCATAATGTTCGGGAGCAAGCAGGGGTTGCTCCGTTTGGGCTCGAAGCAAGCAGGGGTTGCTCCTTTTGGATGCTCTGCGACAGAAAACTTCCAATTTTCATTCTTTTCTTCATGTGTCTCTCCAAAGCTCTCCTTACCTACTACAGACCTGTAATGACTCAAAAAGGACTAGAAAGACTCGATAATGACTTGAAAACAATTAAGAAAACATATATACAGGATGTCAAAAACACCATATATCAATTCCCCAAGACCTAGGTCCTTGTTTGCCCTCAAACAATGTCAAGTATCAAGAACATGGAGAAATGTTTGAAAGTGTGGGAACTCTCTTATGGCTCAGTAACCATACTTTAACCACGAATCCCTGAACCATACAAGCAGACATACTAAGACGACACACCCTTACCAGAACCCCACTGTCTGTTGTTGAAGTCGGCTCCATACTCTATATCTCAAACCTACAAAAGTCACACTTTCCAGACAAAAATTCCTTACATTCAATTAAGAGCAGTGTGAGCTTCTTGTCATAGGCATTATTCAGGGTAGACGGTATAGGTGTGAGACAGGCTTTTTAAGTGTTTAAGTGGAGCTAACAAGTGTTTAGGGGTTACCATTTCTCTGTAGAGGATGCATGATATCGCGCAAAATTGCAAGAGAGGATGGATCCATTGATCTCCATAGACCCCACTCGTTTTTCTCTGCAGAGCAGTCGCTTCTTGTTCCTCTTTTCTTTGACAGGTTGCTCCCTTTCTTCCAGATCACCCTTCTTCACACTGTTCCAATTCTACTTCAGCTTTTCATTCATCAATTGACCAGGGGCTCTATTTTCTTTTTCGTTATTCTCCTTCTCATCATCTTTTACAACTCTTGAGACTTAAATAACACTTTTTTTTTTAAGCAATGATGAGTTCAGATGCTGATGATGACAAAAAGAAGGTAATTACATATAGTGTGTCCCTGGTGGTTCTGACTTTAGCACTTTTTTCACCAATTGGTCTTTTCTGCTCAGATCACTCTACTGACTGCTCTCTTCTTGTCGGATCATGTGTGTGTATGCTCTGAAGCATAGTTTGTGAGCAAAACGAGTGAGAGCTGTGTTGATCCTTTCATTTCCAGCCCTTTTGCACATATCTGCACTTATGAAACTTAAGAACAGAATGCATGAGGACGAAACAAAGGTTTTAAGGTTCAGGTGGGAACTAGCTATAGATGAGCTAGCCACTCAGGATCAACAAGATGGATAGAAAGAATTAAGATGTCCTGAGTGTAATCTCTTTTCCCTATTCTAACGCCCATAACAAGAAGAATTAATTCATTATTAGCTTCAAGTTAGATGGAGTTTAGGTCTTTCCAAAGTAACCTCTACAAGCAGAAATCTTCTGGAGAGCAAAGTGAGATAAAGTCAGGGTGTTCCAGGTCCAAGTGTGCGTCTTTCATCGCTGTTAAAGTCACTGAATAAGATAACTTAAAGCATGAGGTGGTTAGTGATTATCGAAATAAGGTCCTAATCCCCACAAGTTTTGACTCAATAAATATATCAAAATGACTCAAGACTGACTCAAACATAAAATCCAAAAGAAATAAATGAGTTAGTAAACGACAAAGACCCTCCCCTAGACTTACTTCACAACGTCTCAGTGTGAAAATAAACAAAGAGAAGGTTTAATCAGAAATACAAATTATTTTTTTCGAGACACTTACTTGGCGCAGAGGAGCCTAACAGAGCAAGACGCGGTTGCTCTGCTAAAGGATACTCCGAAATGAGGGCAGCCACCTTCTTGCTCCTGTTAAGTATCTCGATTTTTTTTTTTGATTTATGACCTGAGATTCAACAAACTAAAAACAAAATAAGTAAAAAGAAAATCCTAATGTTAATGACACTCACCAGTGGGTTGTCTCCCACCAAGCACTTGGTTTAAGTCACTAGCTTGACTTGGTGATGGGGATCAGTCTGGTTGAGCAGGAGGGCTTGTTCCAAAACAAGCTCCACAATCAGACATGTTCAGTTTCAAAACTCTACTCAACAACCCTTTCACAGCAGCTTTCCCTTTCTCCTTCAGCTCATATGTGAGAATGGCTCTGACTTTAGAGAATGGTTTGGAGGTACCCTTACACTTTAACTCATACTCAATGGAGTTCTCATCACACTTGAGAGGTATCAAAGTCATTGTAGGATCTCCCTTGACCCTTTTCTTCTGGACTTTCTGTTTCACCCTTGAATTCCCTCTAACTTTAATAGGATCAGTGATGGGATTTTCATCAGAGAACAGCCTGCTCTCAACTTTATTACCATGCTCTTTCTCTGGAATCACTTTCAGCTTTTCTACATTAAACACTGAGATTCAAAAGGCGTGTGATGAGGAATATCTGGGGGGTACAGCCTTGTAAAAAAAATTTCTTGTTGATGTTGGAGAAGCAGAATCTCTTGTTAGGCATATCGATGGTTGCTCCAACAGTAGCCATGAATTTCCTTCCAAATATCAAAGGCATCTCATGATCTTTATTCATCTCAGCAACTTGAAAGTCATCAGGAACAACGCATTCCCCTACTTGGACATGAAGGAAGCGGATGGTTCCATATGGGACTGCTCTGG